ACACTTGTACTAAGTATCCAATGAGCCAATTACGAGTACCGCCTGTCTCGCCCATTCACCCTTTTCATCGATTTACGAAAATATTTAACGTTATCCTAATTTGCTGTTAAAAATAACACCATCTATATTTATAGCACTAGTAAGAATACATTTTTTTTTTTTGTTTTTTTTTTCCCCGCCAGTTTAAGGAAAGGTGAAATCAGGACTAGCAGAGCTATCTATGTAAAGATATATTTCACAAAAATATAAAAAATGAGTACAGCATTTTCCCCATTTTTTGTTCATTTTCCCCGGCGGCAGTGGGTTAAGTTAATCCTCATAGTCTACCTGATATTGCTCAAAATTATGGACAAAACCACTTGTGAAATTCTTTATGGTATATTGGCTTTTGTCATTCACTCTTTTATTATATATGTACGATTATAAGGACATAATTCAGAAGGTATATCACAACGTACGGTTCTAAAGACACTAGATTGTCATTTACGGATAATGAGGAATAAATTGGATACTCATTTCTTCCTTTTCTTTCAGGATGTTTTGCCTGTGGGATGGACTCAGGGTTCAGAGTCTACAACTGCGACCCCTTGAAGGAAAAGGAGCGCCAGGACTTCTCGGATGGCGGCATCGGCTACGTGGAGATGCTCTTCAGATGCAACTACCTGGCACTTGTCGGGGGGGGAACGCATCCCAAGTACCCCACTAATAAAGGTGACGATCGATGGGGGAGGATGGAGGTCCTTTTAGTGGGGTCTTGTTGTTCGGTTTCTTTTTGTGTGTCTGATTTTCTCTTCTTCGCATTCTGATTCTATTACTGTGTCTGATTTTCTCTTCTCTTGTTCTGTTACTTTTCTCTCTCTCTTTCTCTCTCTCTCTCTTATTTATTTTATTGCTGTTAGCATTTGTAATACTAGTTATAGTAATAATATTATCAATAATGATAATGATGATGATGATATTACAATAATGATAATGATAATAGCAATATCAATAGCATTAATAAGTAATATTTTTGCCAAGAACTCAAGGATAGAATGAAATCTGCTGAGTCATGTAGATTAACTAAGTGACTCCATGCTGGCTGAGCACTTGTGAAGGTGTCAGTGTGCAAACAAAATTCATAAAGAAAATTACACTCCAGTGCATATAGTCTCAGTTATTATCAGATCCATTATTACTGTTTGTAAGAAATTAATGATAAGTGTTTGCACTAGGATTAGTCTCTTTCATGTATATTTTATTTTATATTTCCTCCATACACCTGTTTTACTCAATAATTCATTTTACTTTTAGTTCGTTTCAAGAAATTTTCCATCTTTTTTCTGCTCATTTCAGACTGATATTATTTTCTCCAACCACTGAACGCACTTACATTTTCTGTACCCTCCTTCAGTTATGGTGTGGGATGACCTGAAGAAAAAGCATGTCATTGAGCTAGAATTCGCCTCAGAAGTCCGTGGAGTGCGGTTGCGGCGAGACAGGATCGTTGTCATCCTTGATACCATGATAAAGGTTTATACGTTCACCAGCAATCCACAACAGCTCCACGTTTTTGACACGGCCAATAACCCCAAAGGTAGGAAATGTTGCTTTGAGCTGGTAGATGTTTGAAGGCTTTTTATTTTTTATCGTCGTTATTTAGTTGATTGTGTTTGTCTATAGTTTCTTTTAATATAAACCTGGTTCTTTTTCATCTTGTAGAAATTGCAAGTTATATAGTTGCAAAAGATTTCTAACCAAGAGAACCAATAGTGTACTAAATTTATACACATTCAGTTTATCCTTAACAGTATTAGAGATAAAACCTTTGAGCCATAATTATTCCATATTGCAATCATGACAAAACTGCTGATAGAAGTATGAATTATTCCATTATATTCTGTCTATTCATGTTATATAAGGTGTCAGTTGATTAGAACAGTTTTTGACATTGCTACTGAAGAAAAATATGATACTCTGTTCATGGTTTCCTCTTTATTTTCCACTTTGATTTTCTGTCCTTAAACCTTACTCCTTACACATGTGTCACCTCCCTCAGGGTTGTGTGTGCTGTGTCCAAACAGCAACAATTCACTCCTGGCCTTCCCTGGGCCACGCGCTGGTCACGTGCTCATCATCGACCTCGCCAACACAGAAAAATCTCCACAGGACATCCTAGCCCATGACTCACCACTCAGTTGTATTGGTAAGTTGGGGCATGTTTACCTTTACATATAGAAAACATTATTTTTTATTGTACTCTTTTTACCTTTTTATGTTCAATATTACAGTCTACACAAGTTATAATAAACTAAAAGGGTCAAAATCCAGGAGCCTTTAACCCCTTCGTGCCGGGTGACGCCGATCGGCGTGTAAACAAAGAGCTCGAAAGCTGGCGTGCAGCCAAGCGAGCCGGCGGCGAGCCAGTGATTCGGGCTGATGTCCCCTACTCATGCGCTCAAAGTTGGTGCGCCGCCTTTGTTTGTTTAAGCGTAGAGTTTTTTTGTTTTTTTTTTTTTGTTTTGTTTTGTACACCCGGCGCCATTGGGTTAACTACTCAGGGATCCCATTGTAAAATAAATGTTGTATCTATATTTGAAGTCATTGTCATTCTTCTGGCAAGCTTTTTTTTTTGTCATTTTGATTATGTAAACCAGTGTTTCTTTTGTGTTGAGCTCCAGTAATATGTGGAACAAGCAAATATACACTTTGATAAATCCATATGAGTTGGGGAGGTCAAAGAGTAGGGTGACACAGTAAAGGTCATGTGAGCTAATGATGTCATCACTAGAAAAGTTTTAGAGCCAGTGGTTTAGACTTATTTTGGCCAGATTAACCTTCCAGATAACTTCATCATGCTATTACTGCAGTCACATTTCAAATTTGTCATGTCAGGCACTGAGCTTTGTATTTCATTATTTTATTGTGGTTATAGCAATGAAACATTCATCAACAATGGCCATGAAACATTGTAAAAATAAGGGAGGAAAGCCCTAACTCTTTCTCTGTAATTAGAATTTTCTTTCCTGAAATATATATATACTTTTTTGAGGTGATACATTTAATAGTTTTTTTCAAAATCACAGTCATGGAAGATATGCATGCACATTCTAATATTCTTGTAAACCATCGCTGGGCAGTAGCTTTGAAATTCTAGGAAGGGGGAGGATGTCAAAATTTGTCTGATAGCTAGGATTCATTGTAGTGAGAGTACACTGTGTTGTTATACATACATAAAGCTTTTCATCTGTTTATGTCAAAAGCTGCCTAGTTTATAATTATTTATTCTCAAAAGAGGATTTCTCTTTCATAAGCAAGCTCAATAAGGCCTGACAGGGGGCCACAGTTCTGGTAGTGATGTATGAAATGTCACATGATTATTTGTAATACAATCAGTGTATACTTGATCATAATACCTCTTTCAAACTAGAAAAAAAAACACATTGAGAAAAATTAACAAAAACATGTGGTACATTCAGACTGGAAACTTCAGCACAGAAATCAAAAACAGTTGTCATATGGATTATTATTCATTATTACTATTCATGATAACTTGACATTGTTCATTGTACAACGAGGATTGCAGTGTATTGTGAAATACTCTATTACTTTATGTTATAATGCATGTGGGAAAAAAAAAAACAGATCTACCAATTTCTAATCATATTGTATCATATTGTATTTTATGTTAGTTGTTAGGGAAATACAGTAGAGAAGGAGTAGGGTAGAGGAAACTCTTGGAGGGAGGGAGTGGACTATGTTGACTCTATTTTAAAATGAGTTGCAGCTAACCTGCAATTAAGTATTAATATGACATTCTTTTTTCTAGCCCTAAACCTCCCAGGAACAAGATTGGCTACAGCCTCAGAAAAGGGGACGCTAATCAGAATTTTTGACACAGCATCAGGAACACAACTAAATGAGCTCCGCAGAGGAGCCAATGCAGCAACAATATACTGGTAGGTGGAATACTGAGGTCTGGGAAATAAACAGTTACTGACAGGAGGCAAGCAAGGCAGTTGGGATATATTTTTCTCTTCTGCTCTTACTGTTATTTAAATTTCTCTTGTTTTTATTATATACAGGTAACCCTTGTCATCCAAGGTTTTGTTGTTTTGACATCTACAAATCTGTATTCTGTAACATTTGCATTTTAGGCTAGTCTCTCTATACCAATATCCTGAACCATGCTAATTGGCTCATGCTTCAAACTGTAGGCAACAATGTTGACAGGGCTGTGCTCATCAGTAGTTGTAATTTTTAGGCCTATTCTCATTATTATTTGCCTAAAAGAAAAGATGAGATGAAGTGCAAGCTATTCAAAGTCTCGTCAGAAGATGGACTGTCAGATAATGGGTTACTTGTAATGTATTTTCTGGTCCTATAAATTATTGGAAGAGTTTTTCCAGGAAAACTAGATATATGCAAGATTAGCCCTGCTTTGTATAGTAGATATTATTGAAATGATAATAAAAATCCTGAATCAGTATAAATATTTTAGACTCTTAAAAAGAATTTACGTATTTTTGTAGCATCAACTTTAGTCAAGATTCTTCACTGCTGTGTGTCTCAAGTGACCATGGGACTGTTCACATATTTGCTACAGAAGATGAGGACAAGAAAAACAAGCAGTCGAGGTTAGCACCTGCGGTTTGATTGTCTCTCTTTCTCCTATTATGCATGCTCAGCCTGTAATATGTGCACTTTTTTTTCTTTCTTTCTTTTCTTTTCTTTTCTTTTGTCTTTCTTTTCTCTTCTTTTGAAGTGTTTTGTACTGTGATGACATAATGTGGGTGCAGTTGTGTGTGTCTTTGTAAACACTTGCAAGTGTGTATATATATCTCTGCACACACTTATATATCTTATATAAGCCAAGTATATGATAACTTCTCTTCCAGCTTAGCCTCGGCCTCTTTTCTGCCCAAGTACTTCAGCAGTAAGTGGAGTTTCTGCAAGTTTGAGGTTCCTGGAGGATCGCAGTGTATATGTGCCTTTGGTCCCACCAGCAACTCCGTCATTGGTGAGAATACCTGACCTGATAGAGTTTGTGCTTCGTGTAACAAATATTGAGAAGAAAACATTTCAAATCTTGTAATAATCCCTCATTTCCAATAACCAAAACCGACTTTAAAAATGCTCACCACTTCACTATTAAATGTTGCACTAACAAACGCCTCCCCTTCGTTCTCAGCAATATGCGCTGATGGCAGTTACTACAAGTTCACATTCAACGCAAAGGGGGAATGCAACAGGGAGGTTTACGCCCACTTCCTCGAAATGACCGACGACAAAGCATAGGACACGTGCAGAGGTAGACGTTTCACAAGAGTGCTCTGTGCACCAGCCTCATGCGCAGTGTTTTCATGAGTTATGTACATTAACACCAACGTTGAGGGTTGTTTAAAAATTATGTGCAGTCTCAAGATTTCATGTGATAGTCTAGTAGTATGTACTGTGTAAGTGTCATTTTTAATTATTTACTTTATTTATTTTTTATTATTATTATTATTATTATTATTATTATTATTATAATCTGTCATTCAGTCCCTCATTCCATATTTGGCAGATCTTCCTGACTTGAATGAATAACATCTTGACTGGATTATTATTTTAATGACATGTTGTTTATAGTCGAGTTTATTGCAACATTTGTACTTAATACAAAACGAGACGAAGTTTTTCTCTTTTCAGTTGTTGATATTTGTTTATTTTATATTATCTTTATGTTGGATGCATCTGCCATTTGCTGACAATTCCAGATTTTTCTGTAAAATTCCCACCCACTCCTCTCTTTTTTCCTTTTAATTCTCATTCGTACTTCTTTCCTTCTGTATGTTTATCATGTTTATCTCTTTCACTCTCTCTCTCTCTTGCCCTTCCTTCTTCTGATTTCTCCCATTCAGTCTCCCCTTCCTTATTCTTATTCTTCTTTTTCTTTTTTTTTTTCCCTTCTTCTTCCTTTTCCTTTTTTAATGCTTTCCATTTCATCCCCTTCATTCTTTCTATTGTTCTTCCCACCTTTTATAAGTTTAATTATATTCATTACACCTCACAATTTCACGACATGTCAACGTTAACAGATTGTCCTAAAGACAGGGAATATATTCATTTTTGTAGAATTGTAACAAAAACTGAAATGTTACAGTAAGGTTTGATGATATATTTGTATGTATGTGTATGTATGTATATGTGTATATGTACATATTTTTATTTATGTATGTTACATCTGTCCCTTTCTTCTTCGTCTTCTTCTTCCTTCTCTTTTAATCTTTTTTCTTGTTTATATTTACTGAATGATTTTTTTTTTTTTTTTAAATACCAAGAGGTGTTGCATGTCCACAGATTTTGTTCTTTCTTTCTTTTTTCATGTAATAAGGTAATAGTTTGATAAAGTTTTCATTTTTATCAATGAATTTGTTTTGAAATAAAGAATTGGGGTCATAACTGCAGCGTTGTGCACCAGGGAACGAGTTTGTGTACATAAATTGCCAGAAACAGCTGCTGCCTCACACAGCCTTACGTTCAAACCTTCGTGATGATTGATTAGTTATGGTATGTTGTCCAATAGTTTTTTTTCCAAGGACATTGACTATGACTGAGTCTTGTCCCAGTAAGAAGACAGTTTATGGCTCGACAGGAGACTAGTTATGTAGTTAAAGAAGTTATATTGAGGATTTATTGTAATTTTCTTTTGGTTTTAGGGACTTGATTCATCGATATTAATAGGGTAAAAATTAAAAAGTAAATTCCCATGTATGATTTTTTTCTCTATTTATTTGACGCTCAGTTAACCCACTAAAGAATGGAAGGTAAACTCACTCTCTCTCTCTCTCTCTCTCTCTCTCTCTCTTTCTTTCTCTTTGTCACACACACACACATAATCTCCCTCCCTCCCTCCTCCTCTTCCTCCTCCTCTTCCTCCTCCTCTTCCTCCTCCTCTTCCTCCTCCTCTTCCTCCTCCTCTTCCTCCTCCTCCTCTCTCTCTCTCTCTCTCTCTCTCTCTCTCTCTCTCTCTCTCTCTCTCTCTCTCTCTCTCTCTCTCTCTCTCTCTCTCTCTCTCTCTCTCTCTCTCTCTCTCTCCTCTCTCTCTCTAAACCTCCCTCCCTCCCTCCCTCCCCACCTAACTCTCTTCTGCTCTCAGGTCTGGAAATGCTATTTGCGTCGTCTAAAGAAGACTAACATCACTTTCATCCTCCTGATGAGTGGTTTACTGAGAGTATGTTTTTGGATAATTTTATGTCCATAATTTTTTGAGTTTACGTGTCCACTAGGTTTGTGCACTCGGAAATATTCACGCAGTATATATGTATTTGAAGATCGTAGATTGTGAAATGTTTATGATGATTTTGGTATTGATTGTAAGAATTCCTTTTGAGAATATTCATTATTGAAGCTAGAGTATTTATAATGTCACAAAGATTATATGATAATGTAAATTAAGTTGACATTTCCATGGACTGTGAATTGATTTGCAAGAGGATTGAACTCGTTTGTGCAAAGATAAAGTTATATTATAGAGTTATTGTTATTATTATTTTATTATTGGGTACAATTATTATTGTTTTGTTTGATTTATTGCATTACAAGTTGAGTGATATGCTAAATGCAAACAGTGGGAGAGAGAGCTTCTATAAATGGCATTTGGATGCTGGAGTATTTTATTTTAATTAAAGATTTTAAAATTCAAAGTAAAATCCATGACCTTGTTCATTTTTTAAACCAAAATAAAGAGAGGAATTTATATAATAAAGAGCCAGAGTGCCGGATATTCATTTCAGATATCTTTAGAAACTGATTGTTTTATAATTGTGATCTTTATCCTTGTTTTTCCTGAGAAGGTAATCTCTCATTTTGTCATAATAATGTAGGACGCTTTTAGTAGGTTGATTTTGGGTTCTGTTCTGTGCTGATTTTCTGAACCATATAGATTTTTTTAAAACTCATTTCACTGTAAATGCATGGTTGGCAAAGATCATATGTTTACTATGACAGAAATTATATTTCATTCGTGTTCGTTGCAATGTTACTATTGCACCACATATTTCAACAGTATTTTTTACATGGTAAGAGAGAAAAGAAATTGAAGCTCTTGATGATTTAAGGAAGAGAGTTTTTTTTGTTTTTTTTCCATTTATCATATTTCCCTAATTACATACTGGCATTTTATGAAGAACAGGGATGTATGCTTAACTTAAAATAAAGAAATGAAATAATTAATTGATAAATGTGAATAAAAATGAAAGTGAAAAGGGGGATAGAGATACGAACGTGTCTGATTTCTGTTAGTACATATAGCTAACTTTTTTCTTTTTTTTTTTTTTCCCATACATTCCTTATAAAAAAAAAATGTTTTTAATATGTTGACAGTATTTGCTTCCAGGATTCAGTACTGATGTGTTAAATAATTGAAACTCAAAAATGTAAATCATTGTATCTCATCAGAATTATGATCTTATTATTTTTCGTTCTCTTGGTTTTGATATTATACCTTTGTATATACTAAAAAAAAAAAAAAAAATTTCCCCAATGCAAGATTCCCAATGTGAGTATATGTTGTCACAAAAGTCTGTTCTGTCACTGGTCTTTAAAAGGAAACCAATTTGGAATTGATGCTTTTTGCACATCCATTAAATGTCTTTTTATATATATATACAGCTGAATGCTTAATAAGCTTGTGCAGGAAAGTACACCATGAACTGAAGTCCAACTTTGTACATATAGAATTTGTGTTTTGTGTCACTGAATTCTGTCATTCTGTCAGTTTTTGTAATTGCAGTGTGTGCTTGGGTAACACAGTCTGCCTGTACCAAACAGTGTAAATATGAATCTAAATATAAATGGCTTTTTAGAATATTTAAAGGAAATAAAAAGTGTCTGATCACAATGAACAGCCAAAATGTTTAGTAGCTTATATAGTCCTAAAATAATAATAATAATAATGATGATAATAACGGAATTAGTGAAGATATGAGATGACGCTTATATTTTTAAAACGGTTACAATTTATTTTGATTACTGATGGAAAGAATGACTGACTTGACTGTTAGTAGACTACGATTTGAAGCTTTAAGATGTCTTTGATTAAACTTCCTGCAGTGTGATTATTATACAGGCAGGACATCAGGGCTTCGTTTGGTCTTCCAGTAGGAAAGGTAGATGCTCCTTCTGTGAACAAATTAGGCTATGTGATCTGTTCTCTGGATCTGGGAGTGTTGGGTTTATCTTTTGTTCTGTTTGTCTTCTCCTATTTTCCATTTTTCCCCTCTTATATCCTTCTTATCCCCCCTCTCTTTGCACATACATTCACTCTCTCCTCCCCCTCCCCCTCCCCTTTCCCCTCTCCCCTCTCCCCTCTCCCCTCCCCCCTTCCCCCTTCCCCTTCTCACCCTTTTCCTCTCCCACTCTCTCCCACTCTCCCTCTCCCTCTCCCTCTCCCTCTCTCCCTCCCGCCCCTTCTCTCTCTTTCTCTCTCTCTCTCTCACTGCCTCACTCCTATTCTTTCCCTGTCTCTCTTCATCCTTTCTCTCTCTGCTAGCCTTCCCTCCTCTCCCCTTCCCTACCCCTCTCTGTCTCGTTCTCCTCCTCCATCTCTCCTCTCAGTATCAGTAATGGGAACAAGGATGTTGAGAAAGGATGCCTCCTTCCATCAGTAAGTCATTTGGTGCATATGATTTTAACATTGGCTCTCCAGCCCACTAAATAGGTGCTGTTCATCATCATTAAGGAGATCATCTGTGATTTAGCCAGTTTGGTTGATTGCAGGTTTGGGTGTTTGTAGCCAAGACGAACATGAATGCCAAAAATTTTTGTTTTTGCTTCTCTTTTTTTTCTTTTTTCTCTTTCTATGTTTGTTTCTAGCAAAATACATAAAATATAAGATAAAGAAATGTCCTCTTGAAACTTCTACTGCTTGAAGTCTGTCTGTCTGTCTTTTTTTTTTCTTAATTGGTGCCAAACAAAAGCATGTCTACAGAGCAAAAGATTATACGTTCTGGGCTTTTTTGTTTCTTCTTTCTTTGCA